CATTGACTTGACATTTGAAATTCGATACTTATTGATACCTTTTTCTTCTTCACCCCTTGAATATTTCTGCTTATGAATTGGGCCTTCTTTGTGATATTGTCTCTTCCTTGGAAATAAGCGACACTTGTGGCACATTGGGTAAATATTTCCTCACATTTCCTTTAGAACTATGACCATCTTCCCATTCTTCACGCATTAAGGAGGCCCTAGTTTTGGCACTCAGATCACCCTCACACTTTGGTTTGTATCTCCTCGAAGATGGTTGAAGAATTCCTATCAAATTTGCTTCAAAATGCTTCATTCGAACTTAGGAATCTTTGAACTTGAGATCCCTCTGAGTTTCCTAGTCCTTTGGCCCCTTGCTTGAGTTGCAAAGCTCACTAAGATATTCCATTTAAAATTGTTAGATCTTGCTACAAAGCATGTGTTAGACATGTTTGATTATCTTTGAGGTCCTAGTATATTTTAAATTTCAAAAATTTAAATTACCTCAATGTAGGGCTGTGAAAAGAGACTCGGTGCGTGAGGGATACTTTGGGAAAGAGACTCGGTGCGTGAGGGATACTTTGGGATGGATCCTCGAACTAGCACATAGACGACTCCATGGAATCATGGTTCCTGCCAGTACTTAGACCAATAACTCCAAGGTCAAAGGGACCAGAAGGAGGTCTTTAGACCTTGTGTGCTTGTTGTGCATTTTTTAAAAGACTATTTTAGAAAATGTCTAGATTTGTGCTTAATGGCTTTAATGTCGTGGGAGCATTGAACTTAACTGGGCATAGAGGCCTCACTTTCCTACTAAAAGAGGTGTACTAAAAGAGGTGTGTGATCATTCTACTCCCTTTTTAATAGTTATTTCACTAAAAACCTCTGGTTGTAATTCTTTTTTACAAATTAATTATGCTTTGGTCTCATCCTTGGTGCTCGAATCTAGCTGGGATTCTTGGATGAGGAGAGTATAATATTGAAGTACGGTGCACCTCAAAAATCCATTAGAAAGAATTAATCTGGCATTGGAAAACCTTCCAACTTGATCATCTTAATCTCGAGATATATGTATATGAAGAAAAAAGAATTCAAGTTCTAAAAATAGTGAATCTTGTAACAAATTATCTAGATCGTCTATTTTCAAGATTTTCAAGTGTTTATAGATCTACTCGATTTGTACTATTTTTAAATTTTTAAATTTCATAATTAGGGATGAAAATATATTTGCAAACTATTGTAAAAGTTTTGGAACTACATCTTGGGGCAAAATTCTTAAGTGCGCCTTACTTCCATAGAACAAGGCAGGTACCTTATACAAACGTCACCCTTATAAAAAAAAAAGATTATATTCAATAAGATCATTTACTCCTGGTGTGGAACCATAAACAATCCAATTAACGGACACCTCTAAACTTATAACAAATGTAATCTTGATATAAAAAATTCTTAGGATGACTTGAGAATCTATTTTAAGCTCTAATGATAAAATTTTAAATTCTAAAAATGATTGAAATCAAGTAGATCTATAAACACATGAAAATCTTAAAAATGAACGGTCCATATAATGTGTTGCAACATACACTATTTCGTAAAAGCAAAATCTTTTTTTCTTTTCATATTCATACATCTCGATGTCGAGATGATCAATTAGTTTTTCAACATCCAAACAACTTTTTATGATGGATTTTTGAATCGCACCTTTAATTCTTCATTTTAAAGTTGCAACCTTATATAAACTTTTTTCTTCACTCTTTGTACAAACAAGAAGATCACACCCATTCTTAAAATCCGACATCTTGAGGTGTCACAAGTATAAAACTTTTTTTTTTTTTTTTTTTCTGAGAGTTGTAATTAGTTAATGACATATTTGTTATCACTCAACTTCACCTCCGACAACCTAATTATTCATGGGTGGGCAAGGTATTGTAATTGGGATTGTATACTATAAGACTATCTATTTTTGGTACAAGAAAGTCACAATCATTCTTTGGGTTTAGAAATGAAATCTGACTCATTGAAGACAATATATTTTTGGGACAAGGAGGTCACAATGATTCTTAGGGTTTGGAAATGATATCTGACTCATTGAAATGTGTCAATATTCAAGAAAAATCATTTTGGATATTCAATGATAAATCTCCAACCACTCAATTTCACATCTAATGGTTGTGATATCCTTATACTAAAAATAAATAGCCTTATTGTATGAATTTTCATTCTAATTTCCTAGAAACAAAAGAGACAAAAATTGAAATACTCCAGGCTTGTATCTATTGAAAGCCTCGATGCATTTGGCATTTCGAAATAGTGTTTATTTAGTTTTACTTTAAATATATTTTTATGGAAAGTTGTCTCATGCGGGCTGGACCACATAACTACATATGCTGTCAGCAAAGTGTAAAGTATCCATCTTAAAGATAGATGCAAGTAGGCAGTGGTTTAAAAAACGGATTGGTGTCTCTGATTGGGCACTCCAAAAACCCATCCGGATCGGTAAATTAGGAATCCGGATCGGGAATCGGCCGAATCGATCTGATTGAGCTTTAAAAAAAATTCAAAAAAATTCTTAAAATTCATTAGAAATGTTGTCTTTTAGGAATCCAATAAGAAATGAGGGTATTATATTATTAACTTTCATTTTTTTTTCATCAATTTGTGAATATTGAGATGTCCTTTCCCTGTATAAACTTATGTTAACCATTAAATTTACATCACATAAAAAAAAAATCATAGAATTATCATAGATAAAGTATATAATTATACATGGACTACAATAAAGAGTAGACTAAATCGATGAAAAAATGATCACTAAAATTTTGACTTGGCGAAAAACCCTAATCCGCTAAAAAAACTCAAATTATTACAACCTAACTAACTATAATCCAAAATTATTACAACCTAACTAACTATAATATTATATGCTGAAATTAATATTTTTATTTTACATTTCATAATTATTTTATTATACAAATAACAATAAATCTAAAATATTTTATAATATTATCTAATTTAAAATGTATTATTGACAACTGTAAGAAAATTAGTACATTACATGATTTATAATGTAAAAACTAATAAATAAAATAAAATATTTGGTTATTAATGTAGAAATTATTAAAATGCATACCAATTTTCGAAATAGCACTTTAATTTTTCAAAAATTTAACTTTTTAGGTTTCTAGAATAAATTTAGTAAAAAAAATTGTTAGTAAAAAGAGAAAGATTTCAAATAGAATAAATTTTTTATTTTTCATTTTTTTAAGCCTTTTATATTATTTACAACAAAAATAATTTATAGCGTTTGGACATTAAAGAAGAAATTACAACAAAAGAAATACATATAGTGCCCAAGGCAGAAGGATTCAACCTTAGTACATCAAAGAAAAATTTGAACATGATAACCATCAACACCACCTCACCACATGTGATATCATGTTTATTATTAATAATACATATTCAAATTCGGTCTTCATTTAATGATGTTTATGGGAATTATCCCACATCAAAGGATCGGAATTGAACTTTCCTCTGTAAATAACAATGTAATAACATATAAAGCATGCGTGTGAAGCTGTTGAGGCAGCCCAACGTGTGAGGTACCACGTGTGATTGTGACACCGCGACCACACTGCAACCACTATTTTTCTGCATGCGTGTGAGTGTCTAAGCGGGCGGTTCTGGTTCGACTTTTCAAACACTGCAAGTAGGCGTTTCGTCCAAAAGCATGCACATGAGTGTCTAACCTGGCGGTTTCGATTCGACTCAAACACTGCAAGTAGGTGTTTCGTCCAAAAGCACGCACGTGAGTGTCTAACCGGGCGGTTCCGGTCCGACTCAAACACTGCAGGTAGGTGTTTCATCCAAAAGCATGTGCGTGAGTGTCTAACCAGGCGGTTCCGGTCCGACTCAAACACTGCAAGTAGGTGTTTCATCCAAAAGCATGCATGAGTGTCTAACCGGGTGGTTCCGATTTGAGTCGGTTCGACTCAAACACTGCAAGTAGAAGCATGCACGTGAGTTTCTAACCGGGCGGTTCCTGTTCTACTCGCCTACTTTTCAAATACTGCAAGTAGGTGCTTCATCCAAAAGCATGCCTGTGAGTGTGAGGTACCACGTGTGATCGTGACAGGTGTTTCATCCGAAAGTATGCGCGTGAGTGTGAGGTACCACATGTGATCGTGAACACCGCTGGTGTGAGATTGTACCACATGTACAATAGATTGGGTAATGTCAGAACGGCCAATTTATGATGTTATCGGGCGGTTCACTTTTCAGAACCGTCTTTCGTGTATTTTGCTGAAACCGGCATGGGGGTGCCAATTCTCGAGTCTAACCAGGCGGTTTCGGTTCGACTCGCTAACTTTTCAAACACTGCAAGTAAGCACGGGGGTGCCAATTCCCGAGTCTAACCGGGTGGTTTCGGTTCGACTCGCTGACTTTTCAAACATTGCAAGTAGGTGTTTCATCCAGAAACAATCGTGTATTTTGCTGGAACCGGCACAAGGGTGCCGATTCCTGAGTCTAACCGGCGTGCCGATTCCCAAGTCCAACCGGGTGGTTCTGGTTTGACTTGCTGACTTTTCAAACACTGCAAGTAGGTATTTCATCCAAAAAAAATGAAAACTAATGGCGCAAATGTTTTTTTATTAAAATTATTATTTTTAGTTTTAAAATTTACTTATTTTTTCATAGTTATGATCTCCATGTTAGAGATTACATGTCCTTAAAAATTAAGCCCAAAAATCCATCTCAAAAATACATTTGTGAATAGCCCAAAATTCCTATATTTTCGGGCTTGCCCGCATAGAAACCAGGTCCTATTTTTATTATTCTTGAAAATATTTATATTTTATTTTTGCTTTTCTAATATGGTGTAGGGGAAGTATAGAAACCTTTCCCTTCTAATATCGGGTATGGGCCTAGTCCTCGGCCCGAGGAGTGGTTTCGAAACGCAACACGTAGCCCTGAAATGAGAGCTGAGCGGGAGCTGTATGTAACAAACCAGGCAAAAAGCATATAGGAAGGACCGAAGTAATGTAGTAACAAATTGAGGCACAGAGAGAGGAGGCGCGCAGAGCAGCAGATGGAGACGGACGGGCTGGACGTTCTCGTGACTGAGCAGAAGAAGGAAGTGATGGATGCCGCTTCTCTCTCCTCTGACCTCGATCTCGCCTTCAGGTTACAAATGGAAGAAGCCATGGGCGCCTCACGCAACCTCCAGACGCTTTCCTCTTCTTCTCTCAAACTCACATCCTCTCTTCCCTCTTCTTCTTCGTCTACTGTCTCAGAGCCTCCTCTCGCTTCGACCCTCAAAATCTCAGAAGAGGAGGAGGACATGTCTTATGCCTTGAGGCTTCAAGCCCTCGAGATTGAGAAATTCGAGCAAGAGAAGAAGGATGGGTTCCAAAGCCAAGAAGAGATACGGCGACTCTCTGATCAAATTAGGGTTGTATCCCATGATGCCAAGTTTGCCCGTGCAGTTAAAGAGATGCCTGATGAGGAGTGGGAGGACACAGGTGACTGGTTCGAGGACCCCATTGAGCCCTCGAGAGAGTACCCGTTCAGGCTTTATTTCAAGGGGATGATAAGCAATGAATATGTTCAGGGTTCTTGGAAATCGCTCTCGGCTATGGGGATTGTGATTTGTGATGGTTATGATAATGTGGTGTTGGAGATTGAGAAGGCTGGGGAGAATGATTTGAGAAGGGGGGTTGCAGAAGCAAAGTCCTTAATTGAGGGCCTTACTGCTGCCTTGTCCCTTAATATTAGGCAAATTGATGTCTACTGCGATTATGCAACCTTGATTAATCAGGTAGGTTCTTCAGTTCCTCTCTTATGTTGGTTTTTTTTTCTTTTTGTTAGTGTTGAGGATGTTTGAGCCAGTGTTTTCTTTGTCATTTTGGAGTTAGTTGAATAATTTGAATCCATAGAGAAAACCCCAGTTATCCTTTCAAAATTGGTTTTCCACTTTCCTACCTTTCCATTTAAATCTGCAAAATAAGCTAGAGAGCTCGATTTTGGTTGCATCTTTTGCGAACTTGGGGCTCTTCTTTGTAAAGGGAGAATCTCAGCTAGTTTTTACCTCTGGATTGGTCATGAATCGTAATTCAATTGCTTGAATAGGATTCCTACTTGATTGCTTTTATTTCTATCTTGCATTTCCTCCATTGTTTTTAGAGTTTTATTGTTGATCTTTTATTTTATGAGCAAACCTTTCTACTTTGTGTATGATTATTGGCACTGTTGACATATGATGGTTATTAGGTGATGTTTCACTTTAAATGTAGTGTTATCCAGCCAAATTGAGGTCCTGGCCTCGGTTCAACAGGCCATCACTTTTCAAACTTGATCATATCTTGAACTTTGATTTGATTAGAATTTTTTCTTAAGTGAAGTGTTATCCAGCCAAATTGAGTTCCTGGCTCGTTTCAGCAGGCCATCACTTTTCAAACTTGATCATATCTTGAGCTTTGATTTGATTATAATTTTTTCCTGGTATGGTCATATATGAATTGAACTAAATAATAACTTGCACGCGCACACACAAATTGATCATGTTTTCATCATTGCATAGTTCTCAAAATGCCCTCAAGAAAGGGTGCGACCTAGATCTGGACTTCAGCTCTCCACTTGTCTAAAATATAAAATATTAACCGCAGGCTTTAAGGTTTGTCTATCATTAATGTTTTAAAATCTCTTTCCTTCCTTAGTGAGCAGTTCCTCAAGAAGAAAAATCTCTTTCCTTCCTTTCCTGTTTCAAGTCTATTTCCCCTGCATTAAATATTTTAGCCTACTGTGTCTCTTGAAAGAATCTATCTCAACCAAAAGGTACCTCAATGATTTGAGATGCTTTCTTTTAAAACCATACACGTGAACATGGTTTTGCGATGGAAGCATACCTATGAGATTTTATTCTTTTGGTTTTATACTTTTTGGAAATTCAAGTGCTCAGTAGCAAGGTTGTGTCAATTGTTAAGTAATAGACAACCAAAGCGAGTATGTGAATCAGTTTCTGTTTTTTAATTTTTTGCTTTGCCTTTCTCCAGTTTCTCTGGACTCTACCTTCATACCTAGCCTATGCTTCCATTGCCATACATGCAGAACCCTCGAAATAAAATATTTAGCTTGCCCTATTTTTCTGGAAATAATCTATATCAACCAAAAGGTGCCTCAAGGATTTGAGATATTTTCTTTTAAAGCCACACCAAACATGGTTTTGCGATTGCTTTCATCTTCCATGGAGGCATACCTGTGAGATTTTATTCTCTTCATTTTATTCTTTTGGAAAGTCAAATGTTTAATAGGAAAGGATCAGTTGTTATGAAATATTAAGGGATTATGTCAATCAGCTTCTGTGCCTGCTTTCGAATTTGTTTGCTTTGCCTTGCTTCTGTGCCCACACCAAACATGGTTTTGCGATTTCTTTCATCTCCCATGGAGGCATACCTGTGAGATTTTATTCTTTTGGAAAGTCAAATGTTTAATAGGAAAGGTTCAGTTGTTATGAAATATAAAGGGATTATGTCAATCAGCTTCTGTGCCCGCTTTCGAATTTGTTTGTTTTTCCTTCCACCAGTTGCTGTGGACTCTACCTTCATACAACAGCCCACACTGCCATATCCATCTAATTCCCTTTGTGATCTCCATTGCTGTTCATGTAGAGCCCAATATAATTCTGGATGAGACATGATGGAGAGAAGTCAAACACTGTAACACATCAGGCTCCTTGTTTGATACGTGGGAAGTGAAACAAGCATAAGGTGGGCTGGACGTTTTACATCACACGAAGAAAAATGCTATCTTGCCCTTGATTGGCAGTACAGTTGTAGTAAAGTACAATAGAGATGAGTCTTATTGAGTTTTTAGTCATATAAAATATGAAAACAACAACTAGATTTATATAAGCAGGCAATATGAGCGGATCTGTGGCATTGAAAGCATAAAGGAGGACGATGTGGGAATCCTCCTTTTGCAGCATTAAAGGGATGTGAACAGTCTTCAGCCTTATGTGCATTCGGGAAAAGCGCAAGGGGGGATTAGCCAACAACAGGGATAGCTTGTCTACCATGTGATTTCTGGTTGTCTTAGGGAGGGTATATGACATTGTTGGGTGCGGAATGTGAATGAATGGCGGCTGGTCAGCACATGGATGACAGTATGGAGGAGTGGGTGTGTTGAGTGTTGGGAGTGGCAGGCTTGTTTGATAAGGCGCCACTGGGAAGGAGGCAAGGTGGGGGTGACATGTGGCGACATGCGTGGGGGCCAAGATGTAAAGTCAGAAATGGTGATTAGGATCTTCTGGATAGGAGGGATGGAATGTTTTGTATGCAGTTTTTAGGGTTTCCCTGTCGATGTGGTGTGGTGTTTTAGATGAAGCCTGGAGGGTGAATCCTGGTTGAGGAATGGTCTCAAGTGGTGGGGAAGAGCGATAAGCAGTCATGGTTCAGGATTGCGAAGAGGGAAGGCATTTTGTAAGAGAAATAGAAGCTGAAGACTGAGGATGTGCAGTGGGACTTAAAGAGGGTATTTTGAAAAGGGACATGATCAGTAGAAGTAGAGGGAAATGGATGTTGGATAAGGTAACCTTCATTAGAAGTAGCTTGGAATGGTGGGTGTAAGGGAGGGCTTTCCCATAGATGTTTCAAGGGAACACCAGAAAATTAAATTTAGTATAAAATTGATATTTCTTTAATTATAATTGACCTCTTTGTTAATGCACAATAATAGCTAATTTTTTGAAAGGCACAATAATAGCTAATTGTTGATTAAAGAAAAGAAAAAACTTACAGTGGGTGAATAATGTGACTTTGTGTATGCATGTGTATATATTTGCATAAGCATGTGCAGATGTATGTATGGGTACCATTATTAGTTGTATGCATGCATGCGTATGTGTATGTTAGGTTAGATAAGCTGGTATTCCTAGTGACAATTGAGAAACCTCAAAATCTCAGCATCCCTTAATATGAAGCATGTTTATCTCTTTCATATGCCAAAGTCATGTGACTAGGGATCATTAAGGATTTCTAGCTAGTTTGAGGCAAGTATCAATTAATACGGGTCTCTTTGTTATTTTATTTTTGGAGGAATATTCGAGACTAGTTTCTTTATCTCAACCAACTTGCAAATAAATTTTTAACAAGTGAGTTTGACCAATTTAGACTTTGGCAGTTTAAGCGGTACCTGATATGGACACCAGTGTGCAGATATGAAACCCTGATTTGAACTTAACATACTTTATATATCTTTGATATGTACCAAAGGAGATTTGATCATCCGATTATTATCTAATATTACTGAATGTCCTAATATTCACTGCATTAATTTTGCAGGTTCAAGGGAGGTGGAATGCGAAGGGACAGCTTGGACCTTTAATTGATCAAGTGCGGTTGTTGAGAAAGAAATTTGATAGCTTTCATATGTATTTGGTGACACGAACTGATATTAAGTTTTCTTTTAGACTGGCTCGAAGGGCAATAGATTCACAACTCACCAAGGCTACCAATAGTAATGCGAGTAACACCTTAAAACAAACTTGCAGTATCTGCTTAGAGGACACTGATGTTTCCCAAATGTTCATGGTTGATGGTTGTGCTCATCGCTATTGCTTCTCTTGCATGAGACAACATGTGGAAGTTCAGCTGAGTCATGGGGTGCTGCCTGGATGCCCTCATGAGGGATGCAAAACCAATCTGAATGTTGATAGCTCTAGGAAATTCTTGCCTACGAAGTTAATTGAGATCATGATCCAGCGGTTGGAGGAGGCAGCTATACCTGAAACAGATAAATTGTACTGCCCATACCCAAAGTGCTCAGCTTTAATGTCTAAGAGAGAAATGCAAAGTAATCAGCAGGCTTCCTCATCTTCACATCATACTGCGGATTCCCCAGGACTCAGGAGATGTATCAAATGCCAAGGACCCTTTTGTCTTAACTGCATAGTACCATGGCATTCTAGGATGACCTGCTGGCAGTATAAGATCCGCAATCCCTATCCCCATACAGAAGATGAAAAGTTACGATCCCTGGCAAACCGAAACTTGTGGCGTCAGTGTGTGAAGTGCAAACACATGATTGAATTGGCAGAAGGTTGCTACCACATGACTTGCAGGTGCCTTTCTATTTTCTCTTGTATGTCTGTAATTTTCTTTGTAGATTATATTCTGTAAGCATAATTTTGCTAGTTCCTGGATTCATAATTTGGAAGCTTGGTAAATTAGCCCGTGGGTTCCATATTTATCATTAGCATACAATTACCTGCCTAATAACTGGTAGGAACAGATCACTCTGAGGCTCTACTAATGCTGCTCTGTGCATGGCTGAGCTAGCAGCAGTCCTTACATCATCCTTTCTTCTTTTTTCTTATTTTTTTATCTTTTGAGTAATAGGATTTTACTTGGACAAAGATTTGAAGATATCAGCTGCTCCTCTTGTGGGACTGAAAGAAAGTTATTATAAAAATGGAAAAGTGCAAAGTTATGATGAAAAGATAATAGAAAGTTGAAAGCAAAGAGTACATGTTGTAAAGTCAACTTTTCTTTTTTTTTCAAAAAAAAGAATGCATGTTTTAATTGCAAATCAAGGGCCTTAAATTAGATATTATTTGAAGCAAAGCCAAAGGTAGTGGAACTAAGAGTGTTATTAAGACAAACCTGATGTCGAACCGGTTGGGGGCACTGGTTTTGTTGGAACGGTTAACTGGTTAGAGAGGCCAAATTTTTAAAAATTTATAGAAAGGAAAATACAAATGATTGAGAAATAGATAAAAATAGAAAAAACCTTAACAAAAGAAAAGTTAGAGGAATTAAAATATTACTATGAATCATTGTTACAAGAACGGTCTATAAAATGCAAAAAATAAAATAAAAAATTCTGTTGAAGACCTATTGGAAGCGGCCACTTTGCAGTTCTCAATGGTTCGACTTGTTTTGGCTGCTTCAAACCCACCGTGGTTCTCAATGGTTCATTGGTGACTTTGCAGTTCTCAATGGTTCGACCGGTTGGGGCTGTGGTTCATTGGTTCCTAGTTCAAACCTGCTGGTTTGCTCCCATCGTAATAACATTTATGAAGGTACCACTCAGTCAGACCTGAATGAAGCAGCGGTTCATTGATTCGTGGTCCAAACTTGCTAATTTGATCCTGTCTTAATAACATTTCTGAAGTACCACCCATTCTGACATGAATGCAAAGCGATAGCATGACTGCTAGTTGTAGATAATATGACTTTTTAATTATCCAAGTTAAGTTAGTTTCCTAATTCTGTTAAAGAGTATGAAGATTCTTTATGTGTTCTATAAGGTCTAGTTTTTTGAAACTGTAAAGAAACTAGTGACTTAATTTGAAGCAATCTAGGAGATTAGGAAGTTTAAGAAAGTAGAGATAGCTTGTCCCATGCTAAGACAGACATAGCGGTGCGAACCTATATAAATACCCATGCGTGCAGGCCTATGGCCAATTCAATTTGAGTTGAGTAACAAAATTTTGGTTTCAACCATAGTTACCAAAATCTCTCACCCAAGGTCGTGATTCTAATTTGGTATCCCAATTCTGCGATTCTAACAAGGAATTTTCATGGAATCTGTTTCCATGAAGTCGGGATTTTCGATTTCTTATTTTAGGAATCTCGATTCCAATCCGTATAACATCATTTCTAATAATTATTGATTATCGATTCCACAATTTTTGAATCTTGATTCTATATTTGTCGAATCGGGATTCCACATATAATGATAATCTCTCCATCAAATTAGAAGCGAAAACATAGGGCCGTGAACTATAAAATAAACAATTGAAAACCTATGAGAAGCATCAAATTAGAAGTTCGATTCCAAAGATATCATAATCTCGATAATTATATGAAGGAATCTCGATTCCATATGGTTGATTCCAAATGGGTCAGAGATGGAATATCGATTCCATATATGTAAGGATCCCAATTATGTTCTGGTCAAATCTCAATTTCTACAAGTATGAATCTCGTTTCCCGCAATTCCCTTTGTACGGACTGCAAATTCCAAAAACATGAATCTTCTAGCCAACTACGATTCCACAATTCTAATCCCTAAAACGATTCAGAATCTCAAGTGTCTCCAGAAACTATAGTGTCAATTGTGATGAGATGTCACCTTTGGAGGAGATATTGCTGAAATCTTTTTGTAGAGAGGACTCTAAATGGGTGAAGAATTTGATAGTGGTGAATATACAAGACAAGAGGGGAAAGAAGGGGCCAAGCTTACATAGGGAGATTGTCAAATCTGTAAGCAATGGTTTTGGGGAATCTCTCTTTTAAAAAAGAAGAAGATGGGCTCTTACCTGGGTTTGGGATAGTCTCCCTAAACATTAAAGCCCCTCTTTTTCTTTTGTTAGGGCAATACCCCAAAATCCTAGCTTGGGGATTGGAGGCTTTTCCCACATAAGCTTGAGCACCTTCTTCTTTCTCCTCTTCTGTGGAATATCCCCATCTAAGATTTGTTGCCACCAAATTTGTCACCCATTCAAACCCTTGCACAAACCCTATTCATTCCTCTCCAAACCCTGGGTAAATTAGCTCAATAGTATGCTAATCATATACCTTCCCTTGACAGCTTAAAAGCCAAGTTTAAACCCTAGATTTCCTTTACAGTTATCATAATATCTTATTGGACTTTGAGGCAACGTATTCCTACCTTAAAACTCTTGAGGCCTTAATCAAATATTGCCCTAATCATACTAAATGCTTCCCTGTTGACCTTGCCAGTTCCTACCCCTTGTTGGCCTCTTATGACCCACTCCTATTCAATTAGGAGATCTCAAGACTTCTAAAACCATGCATGCTAATTACTGGACGAACCAATAACACTTTGGGGCCTGTAAATCCTAACCTAATTAGATTTTCGTATCGTACCTAAACCCTTTCTTCCTACAGTCACCTCGTGTAGGAGCCAAGCACTCTTGGTCTCATACTCCTACATCAAATTTCTTGTTATGCACTAGCTAGAAACATGTGTTTCTCTCTACAATTTAGACAGGAAAAACTGATCTCATAGTTTTATCCATGGCCATATTTAAGTATGATATGGCATATATTTGACAATCTCGACTACTTTGTACCTTTTCATGTGAGTATCAGTTGTCTGTTTGCAGAGAGAAAGATTATGTAAAGCTTTTGTACTTCTTCTGTTTTTCATGAAGTACCAGTGGTCCATTTGCAAAGAGAGAACTCTGGTTAGATCGGTTTTTACTTTATTTGGAAGGTGAGATTCTTCTTTTGGATGGACTTCTGTAGTTGGTCTTGTTTTGGGCTTCCTCATACATGAGGCAGCTGCCCAGATGGTCTAGGTTGCCAGGTCCTCCTAGTTATTAGCTGCCATTATCTAGCACTTCGACAACATTGCCTGCACCCTCCCACACATCATTTCTAAATTTGCACAGACCAGCGGAGATACTCACATGTGTCGTCCATGATTAGTTTTACTTTAATAAATTTGGTGATCAAATATGCATTGGTCAGAGAGCATTCTTGTCCTTCATGCTATCCATGTTCTGCATCATGCACAGAAGTTGTTCATTTACATTTGTGAGGTCCCTACATGTGTGAAGGCCATTGCTATTCATTTGACTACCTGTATTCTTGCTCTGATATAAGATTAGGGATGAAGTCCCATGGCAAACTCCGAATTTTTCCTTTTGCAACTAAAACTATCGAGTCTAGTGCATTGTTTTAAAAAACGGTCCACTTGGTGCCTAGGTGCCCGCCTATGTGTTTTTTAACAAAAAACAGCACTCCTCATGAAAAGGCGCCCGAAACGGGTGTTTGTACCTGGGTGGGCGCCCAGGCGGCTTAGGTGGGTGCCCAACGCCCAGGTTTGGGCGGGGGCCCAACGCCCAGGTCTGGCGGGCGCCCAGTGAAGTCAGACGGAAATTACTTTTTAAATTTGGCCAAAAGGGCGGATGGGTCATTTTGACCCGCAAGTTTGTATAAAAAAGTTATGGGGTTTATTTTTGAACCCCCAAAGTAAAACATGTGTTGCGAAATGGAATAAATTATAAAATTTGACACAAATTTATGTATATATGTGCATTAGGATAGCAAATATTTTTTAAAATGCTATGATTTTCCATTACAAGGCTAAAAATGGATGATTTTCCACTACAGGGTGCCTGTGGATCTGGGCGCCCGCCTAGGCGCTGGGCGCCAGGCTAATCGCCTAGGGGCCACCTAGCGTTTCTTGATACTTTGGTCTAGTGTTATGCACGCATCAACACAATGTTAATGTTTCACGAGTATCATAATTGTATTATTGTTTGGCAAAAGAATGCATATTTCTATGTAAATAGAAAAAAGAAGAAGAAACTTATACTAGATGAGGACTTGAGAGATGGGTGATCACCATAGAAGATATCCTAAAAAGAATTATATGGAAATCATGTTCAAGAGTTCGGAAGAAAACTGATACAAGAAAATATAAAAAATGATGAAAGTATTATATTAAAGCTTCATTTTGCAAAGCTTCCAGAATGGATTATGATGTGATATGCAAGGGATGGTATTGGTGATTAGCAGATCTTGGTTTGCGACACTGAATGTCATTCTAGCTTACAAGCGTTGTTTTACATTTTATTTGAAAAAATTGCCAACATTACTTTTTTTTCTGTTGCATGGCATGCAATGGTGCGCTGTCAATATCAAAACATAAGAATTGTTAAAATAATAGGATGATTGTGAGATAGGAAATGGCTCAATATTGTCTTGAATTGATGATCTTGGTAAACATCGGTGTAACTCTACTGTCCCTGCCATGGTTTTAAATGCGGCCACATTGCCGAATAATGCGTTATGCACTGGCAACCTCATCGCATGAGGCTGCATATGCAGTTTGGAGGGATGCACATGCATATGCGCCGCATCCCTCTGCATATGCGGCCGCATTGCGCAGAGCCTGCATAAGGCGCATATGTGGCCAGCGAGTGATGTGAAAAAAAGCCACTCGAGAAGCGGTATTTTCTACTGTTTGTGCCCCAAAAAAGGAGGGAAAGGGTTGGGGGGCATTAAATCCCTCGAATTTCCAAAAACAGCCACATCCATGGCCTTTACTTCATCAAATCGATAAAAAAAAAAAGGTCGCAGAAAT